TTGATTTCACAGTATTTCATATAGTAAACTCTGAAAATAAGTGAATATTCAATATTACATCCTAAACCTAAGAAAAATAAGATGTTTCAAAACCAAAAATAACTGTTTTACTAAAGGAATTGCCACAGCACTTTAAGAGGAAAATTTACCTTACACTGTTAGTTTTCTTTATGACAACTTAGTTTAACCAACTTTTTACCAATTCCTCACCAGGACTACACTGACATACACTTGCTTAACATGTAGCATTCTTCCAAGAGCAGTTTAGAAGTCGTCATCAGTTCCTTTCCAAGCTACTTTGTTTTTCTTTATGTATTTTTTTCTCCCTATAAATTTACACTTAGTTCGAGATTTCCCCCTTTGAGCTTTTTTCTTCACCTACCTAATTCTACTTGTCCATTCAAGACTCACCTCAGGCAGCACCATCCTCAGGAAGAGTCCCTGACTTGCACACCTCCCTGTTTGCGCCCCATGTTCACTCTGGCACTCACCCCCACTATTTAAATCACTGCTTTACTTCTTTGTTTTCCTGATTAGACCATGAGCTCCTCAAGAGCCCAGACCCCATCCTTTTTTCATCCTATAATCTGCAGGGCAAGGACACACATCAGTGGCCAATAATGTTAGTGAAGGAAGGAAAGGGGAAGAAGAAAATGAATTGTTTTCTATTTCTTCCATCATTTCTTTTTCTTCATCCTCACTTCACGTCTTCCTATTATTTCTCCCCATCTAATAATACATCTCCTTTATCCTTCTCTTCCTCAGTAGGCATCATGGCTTCAGTCTCTCCCTTGAGGCCCTAACTACAGCAAAGACACTGATCAGGTGTGGGGGCAGCACACGCTTTAGGAGACCATTGCTCCTTAGCACCGCAAGGAAGAGGTTTGCTCTAACAGGCCCCTGATTAGTCTCTATTACATCTCTTCTTCTGTGTTTTAGCTGGGGACTTTTAACACACTTTTGCTGTGCCTCGTTTTCCATCTTAGCAGCTGGGTAAACAGGCTTTCAGCAACACCCTGGTAAGCTCAAGAGCTCCACTTTTAAATTAAAAAAAAAAAAAAACTTCACTCACAGCCATGGCTGGAGAACAGTAACACCTGAGAGCACTTGAGAACTGGCGGTGGAAAACTCAGCTGATGACAGAAGCATGCAGCTGCCTTCCGGAATGCGTCTGAGTGCTCCCAGAGAGTAGCATCAAACTGTATTTAGCAAGAAGAATAGCAAAGTGAGGTAAGTAATTGACATTTCTGGTAGGCACTTTCAAAAATGGCTATGAATTTCACAGAACATTTTTGACTACAGCTAACAGTACTGTATTGTATATTTGAAAGTTGCTAAGAAGAGATCTTAAACGTTCTCATCACAAGAAAAAATGTTTAACTCTGTGAGGTGAAGGATGTTAACTAAACATTGTGCAATCATTTTAATATATATATGTCAAATTGTTATATCTTTTTTTTTGCACCTTAACTTAATACAACATATATATTGAATCGTTGTATTTTACACCTTAACTTGATACAATGTTTAACATTGATTACAGCTCAATAACTAAGGGGCGAAAAAATGCCTCTTCAGGTTAAAAAGAAAATGGAAGTTTCTGAGGAGCAAACTTATGACTCAAAAAATTTCCTTTATTTCACAAGTTTAAGAAACTACTTAATCATAAAGTCTCTCATAACTTTTAGAACAACACTTGCCTGCCACCTCCCCCACTCTCTCTGGACCCACCTGCCCCTTCCTCTTGGTCACGGAGCTCCAGGTACTTCCTTGCTTCTCCTTAAACTCCCAACCTCGCACCACTGCCTAGAAAGCTCCCCCAGGTGTCTGCTGGTCTGTTTCATCTCCTTCAGGAATCTGCTCCATGTCACTTTATCAGACAGGCCCTTCCTGATCAGCCTAAATGAAATAGCCAGCCTCACACCCAACTTTCAGGGCTCATTTCCCTTCCCTGCATTATTTTCCACCCACTTTGTTTCATTTACTTCTCTGTCCCCATTGCTCAATAAATACTTATTGAGTGAATACACAAACATGGCCACGGTAACTTTTCATGGACCACTTCAGGGAGGCAGAATCCTATGGAAAAGGCACAGACTGTAGAATCCTATTTTTAACAAGCTGTTCCCTATGTGTCTACCCTTGAGACTAAACTCGCCACACTTCAGAATTTTCATCTATAAAATGGGAAGAATAATGCTTTCCTGCTAGGTACGTGGCACCAAGTGATGCTGGCTCTTCTCCTTCCTTTCTCCCTGTCTCCTTTTGTGGTTGGGAGCTAAGGTGTCTATGACACGCAAGTTCTAAGATCGCTGTGAAAGGGAAGGAGCAATGAGCTAAGCAGACCTTTAACAATACCATTCCCAACAACTGATGCTGATTTTGTTTGTTGGGTAACCAACAGGCTGGGCAGATGCTAAGGGCACCTTCTTTTCTATAGGTGCTGTCACCTGCCTGAGAACTCAAATAGAGACATTCAAGGATATTTTCATGAAGCTAATAGAACTGACCCTGAAACACAGCTATGTTTCAGAATAATGGTAAGTCTGGAGGGAGGTCAAGAGACACTAAATGGAAGTGTGGCTGTTGCAGGGGCTTTATATTGGGAAAAGGTGGAAAGGAGAGGTCTCATCAGATTGTGAAAGACGATGGTGTCAGAGTAAAAAGGCCAGATTTAATTCCATAACTAATAGCGGGCCATGAGACATTTTGAATATTGGAGAAAACATATAGATTCATATAATGAAAATGACAAATTTTAAAACATTCAGAGATTTCTGAAAGCCAAGCACTGAACAGGACTAATGAATCCAGTGGCATTTTTCAGAAAAACAAACGACAGGTTATGAATCAGAATGAATCACATCCCAGGCTTCCCTGGTCTTCACTGTTTGATCCACCATGGAGAAGAGACTGCGACTGGAAGAGACTGAAGAACTGCAGCTACCACAAGAGAGCACCAAAAAATGTCAACACGCTGGCCCAAGAGAGCAGGCAAGCTGGCCTCTGGGAAGTCACAAACCTCTCTGTGGTCTGTGCTCTCACAGCCGGACCTTTGATGATGTGACCTCCCCTATCAAATTTCCTCTCTTAAGAATACCCTCTAAAGGCAATGTAGCACCGAGAAGACAAGTAGTGACTCTGTGGCATCTCACTACACTGATGGACAGTTACTACAATGGGGTATGGGAGGGACTCGATAATATGGGTGAATGTAGCAACCAATTTGTTTTTCTTGTGAAACCTTCATAGGAATGTATGTCAGTGATACCTTAATAAAAAATAAAAAATAAAAGAATACCCCCTAGTCTCTTCCTTGTAGTTTGATTCCTTATTAAGTCTGGACAAAGACATAAATACATTATGGATTCCAAAATGCTGATATTTCCACTTCTGTATATATAAGGGTAGAAAGAAGAAAGTGACAGATCATTTAATTCACCCCAAAGAGTGAAAACAGAAATTAATCTATCACAGTTGCCAATAAAAGTCTTTCTGCCACAAAATTCTGTAACAGACTTTAGCAAGGAATAAAAGTTTTTGGACATAGGAAACTAAGTAACTTTGTGGTTCCCGAAGTTATGAAAGTGCTGGCAACTAAATAACAAGATGACACTTGTATCTGCCTAGGTTTTGTATTTTTCTTGGGTCCACTCTTCTCACAGCATGGATATGATTTATTTAGACTATCAAAGAGCTTTTTGATAAGGTTCTCACAAGTGCCTATTATTGAAACTTGGTAACCATGGTGTGAAAGGAAAAAGTCATATCAATGGATGAAATGAATTAAAGACTGCTTGAGAGGCAAAGAGGCAAAAGGCAGAAATAAATGGCCAATTCTCATGTGGAGAAAGGTTAATGTTTGAGGGCTTTTAAGCTTTGTGGTAGAATCAGAGTTATATTTAACTAATGACCAGGAAAGGGGAGCCCAGTGCTTATTCCCCTATTCTCTGCATATCACCCCACACACAGAGCCCCCATTGACTGAAGGACATTTGACACATGGAGGATATATAGGCACTGCAGAGAAGTGCTTAAAATCCAGGAAAGAGCAAGTAGGTAATGAATATTGACTCACATACAGATCCCCAAATACAAAGGGTACAGAAATGAAAATTACATTACAGAACTTTATTTTCGAATGACTTTGATACACACTACATAAAAATACATAAAAAATAGTATCTTTCAAAAGATAATATATGGGATTTGAACAGAAGTACTTTGCTGGCATGATGAGAGCAAATGTTCCATACTGAAAAACAACTCAGTGGGCATTTAGATCTGCAAAAAACACACAGCCTATTTCTACAGATTTCACAAATTCAGACATACACAAAAGTGAAACTGATAGGGATCTCAAACTTGAAAAATTGGTACAGGTTTTGGCAAAAGCATAGCCCAACATGAGTGGAATAATTTGGAAATCAAATACCCTAATTATGAGCATTAATCCTTGATGACCCATACCACAATCTTGTATATTCAAAACATCATCATGACAAACTTCAAAACAGAGACTCAGAAAAGCCAATGAACTCTTTACTTAATTTCCCTTTGTCCCAGTTTACTTACCTATAAAATGGGAATAATAGAATTTACCTCATAGGATGATTAAAAGAGTTAGATGAAACCAGGTATGTAGAGCATTTTACACAGTAAAGGTAAAAAAATAATGTTAAAGTATAATTGTTCTTATTATTGTTGTCATTAGTACTTAGACTAAACCCGGACACACACCATAGACAAGTGACTTAATTCAAGTCACTGTGACTTTCCTACTTATATCATTGTGATGACTTGATGCCTAATATGAAATATAAAATACTTTCAAACAAGAAAAAATATAGCTTTAAAATAGCTTTCCACTAAGCAATTTTGTGAAATGGCAGACAATTATAAGTTGATCTAAATAAACCAAAAAAGAACAAAACAACACACCAGCTAAATGCTAATGACATATTAATTCTTAAATGTTTAAACAGCACATCCAAGCTTACCGTTCAGATAGTATTTTAATAAGCTCCTTTCTATTCTGAACCCGAAGGTGGTTAGTTTTATATTTGGAATCATCAGTCAGTTCAGGCAAATTCAAGATCTAAAAGGGAAAAATAGTTTTGATGTGTAATCACAAGTTTTTCAATTACCTACCTGTGGGTGCTAGTGTTCAGGGCCTACCACTCCCACTCCAAGACTATTTCTTTCTGGTTTTTATACTTCTGAACAAAGGGATATAGGTGGCCAGGCTATGCAATTAGGATAGATAATACTATAGGCTGGGTTTGTCATTTTATAAGAGGTTTTCTACATTTAAGCAATGAGCCTACATCTGGGAGCACAGAAAAAGAATTGACAGACCCCCACCATAAGTCTCATGGCTTTATATGAGAATATAGGAAAAGAGTTATCAGATTCCCACAATAAGTCTTGTCCAAAGGGAGTAAGGAGAGAGCTACAAAACTGGGTAAAACTGATTTAATTCTGAGAACCAATATTGTAAGTGTATGTTTGCACTTGCACGGAGACCATAATCATATATTTTGTAGGTATATTCACTTATTTGTTCCACATGTAAATAAAATCATGTTATCTGTCCCAGTAGTACTGCCCAGGATGTTGTACAAGGTGCTAAAATAAAGGAAAAGCATATACATTTGCCCCAAATGCTAACAGTTAAAACAATGTCAAATTAAAAGACATTCTTCCGATAGAAGTGTCACTATTTTTTCTTTAATATGTCTCCCTGGAGGAATAACAAACAGAAATGCTTTTATATATTTCCTCTTTTACTCTTCCTCAAAAAAGAGAAAATCTATCTTGCAAGTCCCTTTGGACATCTTGCAATTTTAACAAGTCCATAATGAAAGTACCAAGTGAATTTGGAATGGAAAAGAAGTTTTACAAAGAATGTGTGGAGGCAGTGTTTGGCAATTGTGTAGTAAAGTCAAAAGCAGCATTTAGGGGCTAGGGGCAGGCCATGTGGCCTACAGAAAGTTTCACTATCTCTATTAATGAGTTTTCTTTAAATATAAACATTTAATGGTTTTGTTTCTTTCCCACAGTTTAAATAAAATCAATTCATTAATCATCTTACAAAGGAGAGAGAAGTAGAGAAGATTCCCTAGAAAAGAGAGAGTGTCTCAATGGTATGATTTCTCTTTTGCATGTTTCACTTATTCATTTCCTTCAGGGATAATAAAGATACCATGACTCTCCCAGAATTTAAAAAGGGACACCATATACAGTGCCCTTTCTAAAAACCTCCTTGTCACCAAATGTGATCCCAGAAGTGGCCTCTAGCTTGCCCAGAAGACTTGTCCAGAAATTTGACCCTCTCTCCCTAAGAGTAAGTCACTTAAAGAAAAAGTAAGTGCCCTCACTAAATCACAGGTTAAATTTATAAATCTGGCCTCACCCAGAATATACCATGAACTATCTTGAAACCTACTCAGTGACTGCACTCAGTGGTAACTGGGATGGCCTTTTGGGTCCTTCTCTGATTTTGACTTATTGACCCTCTTTTCTCTTTGTAAGTTGGTGTAAAACAGCAGGTCAAAGTAATTCTCCCTCCACCTTCAGCCAGCATTCAAAATCTTTCCTCAGAGATTGCTTCAAGGGCTCTGATCATAACCATTGTTTAGGTACTTGAAAAAAAGTGCTGTCTAGGATAAAACGAAACAATGTAAGTGAAAGCACTTCCCATATTAAGCACTAAATAAATGAGACCTAGTCCAGGGAGACACTATTTAACCTAAAAGAAATAATGAAGCCTGTGTCTGTTCAAAAAGGATGGTAAAGAGGGAATTGGAGAATGGCTTTGCTCAACCTGTTCTTCTTGAGGACATTTCTACTGGATACAGAATTCTGGGTTGACAGTTCTTTCCTTTCAGTCCTATAAACATGTTGTGTCACTTCACCCTGTAGTTTCTGACAAGAAATTGGCAGCCAGCTGGGGGATCACTCCTCCATAGGTAAAACATCATTTTTCTCTGGGTGCTCTCAAAATTTTTTTCTTGGTCTTCAGTTTTTAGCAGTAAGATTTTGATAAGTTGGATGTGGAAGTATTTAAGCATATCCTGTTTGAGGGTTACTGAAACCATTAAATCTATAGGTTTTTACCAAATTTTACTGGATTTGGGGTGTTTTCAACCATTATTTCATATTTTTTTGAGCATGCAATCTTTATCCTCTCCTTCTGGGATTATGACTTATATACTGGACTTTTTGTTATTGTCCCACAGGTCCCTGGAAATCTGTTATTTCTTTCTTTTAAAAATTTTTGTGGAGGAGACTATTTTTTTTTCATCTCTGTTGTTCAGACTGAATAATTCTATTTATCTAGCTTCACATTCCTTGACTGTTTGCTACCTTTGGCATCTCCCTTGTGCTACTGGGCTCATCCAGTGGAGTGTTTCTTGTCTATTTGGTGGTGGTATTTTTAAGTCCTAGAATTTCCATTTGGTCCTTCTTCATATCTTCTATTTCTTTGCAGCACAATTCTACTTTTCAGTTTATTTCAACAGTGTCTGTGATGCTTGTTGGAGCATTTTCACCATGGCCGCTTTAAAGTCTGTGAGTTAATTCCAGCATCTGTGTCATTTTAATATGGATGTTGATTGTCTTTTCTCACAGAAGTTCTCGTTCTTCATATGCCAAGTAATTTTGAATCATATTATGGACATTTTGAATATTATATCACGAGCCTCTGGGTCTTGTTTAAATCCTTCAGAAAATACGTATTGTTACTGTTTTTAGCAAGCAGTTGACCTGGGTAGGTCCAGGCTGCAAGTCGCAACCCACCTTCCGTGTGCTTTGGTTCTAATGTTGGTTCAGTTCTCAAAGTCTTTGCACTGCTATTCCAGTCTATCCCACCTGTGCCCCCACTTAGTGGTCACGCTGCAGCCTGGGCAGTCATCCATTTGTTAACTCAGTTCTCAACATCTTTGGCATACTGATTAGGATCAGATCAGTGTATGCGCAACTCAGGGGTGAGCACAGGAGTTCACAAACAACTTCAAAGATCACTTTCTGAAGCTTTCCCTCTCTGCAATCTCTTCCCATTTCCCTGGGGTCCCCTTTAGTTACCCCACTCTTCAGAGCATACTTTCAGGACAGAGTCCAAGCAGTGGGAGGACAGAAAAAAGCAAGAAGGATTCACCCCTCCTTGGGGATCAGAGCTCAGAAATAAAGAGAAGTTATTTCCTTTTTCAGAGTTTTAGTTCCTGCTACTCTGCTTCTGCCACTACAGGATTGTTTGGAGGCTAGGGCATGAAAAAATGGAGAGGAGTTAAAAACAGATGACCACACTCTGTCTGATATAACAGCTAACTTTCATACTCCTTGCACCAGGAATGAAGGGCATCTCCCAGAGCTCAGCTTTGTTCCCTGGCACCCACTTCTAGGTTCAGGCTCCACTGTGTCCATGCAAAGGCATAACTAGAGGGGAAAACCGAAAAACTTATTGTCAGTTTAGAGGTACTTCAAATTCTGGTTCTTCCCCAACTCTCCTGCTACTACTTACTTTTCAGAATCCTCTTATAGATGGCCCATGCATTCTGTCCAGGTTTTATCACTGTGTTCAGTGGAATGGCTAGGGAGAGGCATGCTTAGTCCTTCTTACCCAGAACCAGAATCACCACATGTAATTTTCAGAGAGGCCCTTTATTCAGGGCATACTGTGAGCCAGAACTATACTATTTCATTTATCCAGTCTAGCTTGTACAAAACCCCACAAGTTATATTTTAATATAGTTATTATACTCTTCATTTTACCAGGAGGATGCCTGTTTAGCAAAGATTACATACCTTGCCAGATGCCACTTGACTTGTTTAGGACTCACAATATGCCTTAGAAATATGCTATAACGTCCTTAGCCCACCTGCCCCAAAATCAACTACAATGCTTATTAAAACTGAAGTTTCCTATGTCCCACCTCAGACATACTAAGTCAAAATCTTTGGGAATAGGGCTCAAGGAGATTTCCTATGCATGCTAAAGTTGAGAACTAAGACATACTGCCTCCAATAAAAGAAATTTCAGTCTAAATGTCTTTTAAAAGGATGTCTATGTACTTCAGATAGGAATACCCATTAGTGTTGGCATCAATCAGTTTAAAATAGCTTACATATGCTCACATTCTCTACCCTTCTGCATCATGTTAAGGAACAAAACATAGGATTTATTATATGCCAAAGTATACTTTATATGCAGAAGAGTTTCTAAACCCCAAGCCTTGAACCCCAATGCTCTTGTTCTCTAATTTCTAACAATAAGAGATTCCTAATAGGACCCATCCCCTATGACTAAGAAGTATTAGTCAACTAGTATATCACTTTCTATTTTGGAAAAAAATTAGGCCTAAGTAAATTCTACTCATTCATCACAAGCAATACTTCTACATTTCTCCCTGGGTGGAAGAGCTGCCCTGTCTTTCACTGATGGACCTTACCTGGCAAAAGCACAATTTTGATAGGCTCACTGTCAAAAACTGGGGACCTCATCTCCTATGAGGCCAGTCTGAATGACAAGGCCCGAAGTCACGGCCAAATCTGAATAAAAAATATTTAGAAGAAACTCACCATCTATGGAAGTGGGGAAGTTGCAATAAAATAAGGAGACAGATTTTCTTTCAGATGAGAAAGTTTTTAGGACAAGTTGACATGTAAGGACATAATTATGAAAGTTGAAAAAATCAGTGAGATTGCAATGTTTGTTCAAGATGCCTAGAAAATGAAGTAAATAACATTAGAATCCTGTACACATAAAACTGCTTCTGAGGATCTCAAAGAGTTTTATAGACATTGTCTTAATGGCTCACAACAGGGATTACCATTCCTAACTCACATATGGGAGAAACAAGGTCAAGTTTTCCAAGGCTCTCCAATAGTCTCCTTTTTATAAAATGTGTCATAGCACAACATAACAATAAGTCATATTTTAGTACTAAAACTTATGGCAAATAGTCTGCTTTGAAATAGAAATCTTTTTCAAAAGTGTTCTTATGGATATTTATGAGGAAGTTCAAAAGTTTCCAATTGATCAGCAGTAATGAATCAAAAATAAAAAGAATTCAGTGCAATTATTTTCAACAGAGAAGAATATGTCAACTAGTAATTTCTCCCTCAAACCCATCCCCTTTCTGGAGAGAGAAAACTCCAAAACATATGGCCCAGGAAGAAAATCTGTACTCATTTATAGCAATGAACTAGCTTTTACATCTCTGCACTAGAGTACGCAAATGACTTCACAGGCAACAGCTTCCGTATGTTTCGTATTTTTAACATTGACCGTTCATAATAAAGATTCTTTGATCGTAGATCAAATGTTTGAATCAATTTTCTCTACACTTATTCAGAGTCACCATTATAAAAGTTCCCCTCTTTCCCACCTCAGATGTTCCAGCCCTTCCTGCAATCGGAATTATCTCCATTTGTCACCTTCTCCATGGTACTTGCCACCCTTTGCTGTGGTTTTTGGCTGTATTCGTTAACCTCTCATACAAAAGAGGCACAGTAATAAATAATTTTTGTATATAATAAGTTAACTGCAATAAGTAAGTTTCTTCTAAGGAATTCACATGCATGTTTCATAAAACTGAAAGCTTATGCTAGTATGGTTAGTACAAAAAATAAACCTCTCCCAATAAGAGAAAAAAATCCTCAACAGGTGAGGCCTCTCCCCTCCATGTAACAAAAATAAAAACTTTAAATATATTATATTTCTGGGATTGGAACTGGATAAACTGAACTGAAACCTACATGCTTAAATTTAAAAAAGGATCAAAAGTTTACATAAAGAGTAAAGACATCACATTTTAAAAAGATGTCTAGGCAATGCTAAAAATGCAGAATATCTTCAACATTAAATTAATTTAAATGAACCCAAGGCCTTTTTTTAAAGCTTTTCTGAGGAGCAACATTTTTTAAATTGAAATATAGTTGATACACAGTCTTATATAGTTTAAAGTATACAACAGTTACCCACATTATTAAATCCTCACCCCAACTACTGTGGTTACTATCTGTCAACATAAGAAGATGTTACAGAATCATTGACTATATTCTCCCTGCTGTACTACTATCCCCGTGACCAGCTTATGTTATGATTGATAATTTTTGTGCCCCTTTATCCCCCTCAGCTTCCCCACCCACCCAGCGAGCCCCTCACCCATGGCACAAACCAGTCACTTCTCAGTGTCTATGAGTCTACTGCTATTTTGTTCATTTCATTTTGTTTTATTTTTTGATTCCACAAATAAGTGAAATTGTATGGTATTTGTCTTTGTCCAAGTGGCTTATTTCACTTAGTCCATCCATGTTGTCACCAATGGCAGGATTTCTTTTTTATGGCTGAATAATATTCCATTGTGCATACATACCACATCTTCTTTATCCATTCATCTATTGATGCTTCCATAACTTGGCTACTGTATATAATGTGATAAATAGGAGTGCATATTATGTTTTCAGATCAGGGATTTTGTTTTCTTTGGGTAAATTCCTATAAGTGGAATTACTGGGTCATACGGCATTTCTAATTTTAGTTTTTAGAGGCACCTCCATACTGCTTTCCACAGTGGTTGCACCAATTTACATTCCCACCACATCCTCACCAACACTTATTTCCTGTCTTTTGGACAGTAGCCATTCTAACTGGTATGAGGTGATATCTCACTGTGGTTTTAAGATTTACATTTCCCTGATAATTAGTATCTTTTCATGTGCCTGTTGGCCATCTGTGTGTCTTCTTTGGAAAAAATGTTCATGTTCTCTGTCCATTTTTCTAATCAGGTTATTTGTTTTCTTGGTGTTGAGATATATGCATTCTTTATACACTTTGGATGTTAACCCTTTATCAGATAAATCATTTATGAATATATCCTCCCATATTGTAGGATGCCTTTTTGTTCTGCTGATAGTGTCCCTTGGCTGTACAGAAGCTTCTTAATCTGATGTAGTCCCATTTGTTCATTTTTTATTTTTGTTTCCCTTACCAAGGGATATGTGTCCAGAAAAAAGCTGTTCAAGAGACTTCTTCTTCTAAGAGTTTTATGGTTTCATGTCTTACATTTAAGTCTTTGAACCATTTTGAGTTTACTTTTGTATATGGAGTTAGACAGTAATTCAGTTTCATTCTCTTATGTATAGCTGTCCAGTTTTCCCAACACCAGTTATTGAAGAGGCTGTCTTTTTTCCACTGTATATTATATGGTTCCCTTATCATATATTAATTGGCCATATATGCATAGGTTTATATCTGGGCCCCATTCTGTTCCATTGATCTATGGGTCTGTTCTTGTGCCAGTACCATACTGTTTTGATTACTATAGCTTGAAGTCAGGTAGCATAATACCCATAGCTTTGTTCTTCTTTCTCAGGATGGCATTGGCTTTTTGGTATCTTTATGGTTCCATATGAATTTTATGATTATTGCTCTACTTAAGTGAAAAATGCCATTGGTATTTTGATAGGGATTGCATTTAATCTGTAAATTGCTTGGGTCAGTGTGGCCGTTTTGACAATATTAGTTCTCCCTACCCATAAACATGGGGTATATTTCCATTTATTTCTGTCTTCTTTAATTTCTTTCATGAGTGTCTTACAGTTTTCAGAATATAAGTCTTTCCCCTCCTTGGTTACACTTATTCCTAGGTAGTTTATTCTTTTTGATGCAGTTATAAATAGAATTGTTGTCCTGCTTTCTTTTCCTGCTAGTTCATTATTGGTATGTAGGAATGCAACAGATTTCTGTATATTGATTTTGTGTCCTGCAACTTTGCTGAATCCAGTTATTACTTGTAATAGCTTTTTGGTGGAGTCTTTAAGGTTTTATATAGTATCATGTCATCTGCAAATAGTGACAGTTTAACTTCTTCCTTACCAACTTGGATGCCTTTTATCTCTTTATCTTTTCTGACTGTCAAGGCTAGGACCTCCAGTACTATGTTGAATGAAAGTGGTGAGAGTGGGCATCCTTGTCTTGTTCCTTACCTTAAAGGAAAAGCTTTCAGTTTTTTGCCATTGAGTGTGATGTTAGCTGTGGGTTTGTCATATATGGCCTTTATTATGTTGGGGTACATTCCCTTTACACCCATTTTGTTAAGAGCTTTTATCATGAATGGATGCAGGAACAACATTTTTAATATAAACTTAATTGCTAAAACTTTAAATTTATTCAATCTTTCAAAAAGGAACTCATTAAACACAGGCTAATTTAAATTTGTTTTAATTTTCTAGTGGTAAATACAATAAACTTAGAAGCAGATTAACCATATTTAGGCCTAACTGATCTCATGTTGTTAGAAAAAAAAAAAGAATAGAATAGAAAGAAAGAGGAAGAGAGAAAGATATCCTGGTGTTAGAAACCTCTTTAAAATTATTATTTTTCTTTTCCTTTTTGTGTGGACTGGAGACAGGTCATGTTTTAGTTTAATTAAGCCTACTCTGAATCTTCACTTGAAGATATAGCCAGAAACCTCAAAAAATAAGGCAGTCAGAGTACTAATTCAGAGCCTGTCAATAGCACTTGTAACTAAGAAAATGGCATTTTTTAGGGGCTAACACAAGGAGTTTTGAGTTGATTAGAGACTTAAATAACATTGTTCTAGGCAAAATTGAACATTTCTGGCTTTGTACAAAATAAGTTGTTGTATATACCATCCATACATCCCAGTGATTACAGATTACCTTGCACACAGTAGCAAACTGTTGGTTATTTCCTGCTCCAACTACAAGATAGCCATCCTTGGTTTTAAAAGCCTGAAATAAATAAATACATACATAAACATATAATTTTACATTGTGAGAATACTACAAAAGTTGACTTTAATTTCCAAAGCTTCTGTATAGAAAGCTTGAGCTAAAGCAATGTTATTAATTAAATATCAGTTAATTAGTATATTTTTCTCTTATATTTGCCTAGTTGTTTTCATTTGGGATTTTCAAAGCACTTCCTGGCTCTTCCACTAACTGTTATAAGATCAGGGGAAGAGGGGAGTGGTCTTAAAAAATGAAAATACTCATGCTTGATTATAAGTCATAACATGAAATTCTGTATTATTATAACATGGGTTAATGTTGAATTTCCCCAAATTTCGTTTCCATTTTTCCTTTTAGGGAAAAGAGCAAGAGAGCACATTGTTTTTAACAAAGTGTAAGAATAGATGTAAACTTTTGAGCAATTTTCACTTTTTAGTAAGTAAAAATTGACACATCTGGATCTCTGGACCACATGTGGCTTCATGTACCTGAAAATGTCTTTTTCTTTTAGAAGACACATTTATTTGGACAGCAACAGATGGAAAAGTAACTGATACACCTCCCAGAGTCCTAGGCCTGCTGGAGAACGTTTCAGCACTCCCTTCTGCACATCTGATCCCAGCGCGGGGCGGAGAAACCAGACTTTACCCTCAGAAGGCCTCATTCCCACTTGCCTTAAATAAATGAGTTCCTTTAGTTTCCTTCCTTTCTACACAAAACTACTCTGTATCTTCACCTATGCCTTCCTCCCTTACTCCTGCCTCTTGAGAAAAATGACTTCTGTCTTACTTGGCAGGACTTTTTCCAGTGTAGTGACCTTGGTCCCCTCCTCTCACATCCTTCAGGACCCTGCTCAACCACCTTTAATCTCTTCATTTCCACTGGAGCCTATT